TTTTTTTTAAAATTTTTAACTTTTATTATTATATTACTATTTTTTATTTAACTTTATGTCTCTAAAATACTATTTTTAACACTTTCAACATTTATTATTCTTTAAATCATCAAATGATCAAAGGTATAAGTTTGGTTTAAATATGACTCTTTTTATCAATGTTAGTCAAGTGTAACAAACAAGTTTTTTTCTAATTATATACTTTAGCGTAGTTTCCCTAGACGCATTATGAAGTTTGGATCGGTATTTATCAAATATGACTCGACAAGTTTTTACATGTCTCTACAAGTCTTTGCAAGTCTATTAAAATGTTTTGTAAATAGATCAGGCCTCATTGGTGTAAAAATCTGTACGTCAATTTTTTTGATACTTATTAACCAGCACACACTCTTCGTAGAACCAATATTGGATTTCACATTTTACGACGAGTGCATTAAAAAAAGTTTATTTTGTATTACACGATAATTTGAAATTTTGATACACAATTATTTCCACGAGCCTTAGAATATAGAAAATTTAAATTATATTCTGTTTATCGTTAAATTTTTTTGTGTTTATATTTTTGAAAAATGTTTTGTGAGCAAATAGAACCGTCTACAAGTAGGGTTATCAGTGAGGAATGCACAAACGAGGCACTTTTATCTCCAAATGATAAACAGGAGGCTACTAATGCTTTTGAAATTTGTCGTCAAATATTGACAAATTTGAATTATTTATCTGCAACGGTTGGCGATAAATTTTCAAAAAATAATTATTTAATGGGTGAAATTATGGCCAAATCAGTCATAAAGGTGTTGAATGAGTACGAGTTTCAGGAAGATGATGAGTTTTTTTTAAGCCATGAACAATCTGAGGAATCCCTAGTGGATGAAATAATAACGAGTTCTAGTTCAACGATAAATAATAATCTTTCAATAAGTTCCGATGAATTAAAATCTCCATTAAAAAAAAAGTCATTTATACCTATTGAAACAAAAATTAAAATTGTTCAGGTTGCTAAAGAGCATCCAAATTGGAGCTTGCAAACATTGCAACGAAACGGTTGTAGTTTGTTAAAAAGTAAAAAGTATTTGGGTCGTTGGGAAAATGATATTTTAAACGGAGGTGTAAAGGAGTGTTATGACAAAATTAATAAGTGGACTTACGATCGTTTTTATGAGTCTAGAGTAAACAAACAACCAGTTTCGACAAGAATGATTCAGCAATGGGCGTCAGTAGCTGCAATGCAATTTGAAAATGTTAGTGGTTTTCGATTTATTGCGTCATTATCCTGGGTAAAAAAGTTTAAACATACCAATAATATTCGTCAAAGAAAGGTTACGCGTTATATTAAATCAAAGAAAGCGTTAGACATTTCATTAATTATGAATGAAGCAGAGAGTTTTCAAAAAAGAGTATCTAAATTAATTTTAAACTATGATCCAAATTTTGTGATAAATACTGATCAAACTGGTTGTGAATATAGAAGTGAGATATGTAGGACATTATCACATAGAGGTGAAAAAGTAACGGAAGTATTTTTGGGTGATTTTAATAAGGTAACTCATAGTTATACTGCACAATATGCAATAACTGCTGCAGGAACAATTCTTCCCAAAGTATTTCTTTGTATGCAGGAGGCTAAAGGCGAATTTGGTCCACGCATAAACGAATCCGTAAACTCATTAACTCGTTCATATGGTAACATTTACGTAACGGCTTCTAAATCAGGAAAATTAACAAAACCCCATTTTAACGAGTTTATTAAAAATATTTTAGCACCTTATTGTAAATCAAACGAATTTTTATTAATAATTGATTCTTGGGGAGGACAAACAGATCCAGGACATTTTAAAAATAATTTTACTAATACAAATGGTGATTGTAATGCAAATGTTGAAATAATCCCTCCTCATTGCACACCATATTGTCAGCCTTGCGATGTTTATTTTTTCCGTCAAGTAAAAAATTTTATAAAAAAAATTCAAAATGCTGTAGACGTGTTACAAAGTGATAAACAACTTTCGTCAAGAGAAGATGTCATAAAAATTCATTCATTAATTCACCATCAACTATCTGCCGATATTTTCAAAAATATGTTATCATATGCGTGGTACTCCGCAAAATTAGTTAGTGAGAGGTCGTTATTCGGTAATGTAAACCAAATATGTTTTCCATCGGATGTATGGAAATTTAAATGTAAATGTGAAAAAGTAGCTTTTATACGTTGCTCTATATGTAAAAAGTATTTATGTTTTTTCTGTTTCTACGAAAAATATCATCCCTTTGAATGTAAAGTGTGATATATTATATAATAATTATTCTTATTATTCATGATATTTTAATAATAATTACAAAACATTTTCTTTTTGTTAATTTGTGTTTAGCGCTAATATTACGTGTTTCAAATCTTAACACTTTTGATTTAAGTAATTAAAATAATTTAAATTCAAAAAAAAATTGTGTTTGAAATCATTCATTTCATATAATAGTTCAATAATGACTATGATTATCATTATCTTGATTAAATCTTACTATATTTTAACCAAAACTTATACCTTTGATCATTTGATGATTCAAAGAATAATAAATGTTGAAAGTGTTAAAAATAGTCTTTTAGAGACATAAAGTTAAATAAAAAATAGTAATATAATAATAAAAGTTAAAAATTAAAAAAAAAAAGTGAAAAAAAAATGCAAAAAATTCATGTCTCGTTCAGAGATTCGAACTCGGAACCCCATAATCGGACTGTCACGCGCTATCCATTAGACAATAGTACGACCTTATCCCAATTGAAAAATTAACTCTATTAAAGTTAAACAACAATTTTCAAAGTCGATTTTCTCGACTTAGGGGGGGCATTGGCAACAAATTCGAAATAAAGGTGATTAAATAGTCAATATAGAATAGATCTATATACATTTTATGAAAATCGGTGGGTACCACACCGTGACCTCCCCTTGTTAGATGTTTTGGTCATTTTATGAGGAGAGAAAAATCGGAAGCTATAAGAACAGTCATACAAATGAATGTTGAAGGAATAAGAAATAGAGGAAGACCAAAAAAGAAATGGAGGGACGTTATTGAATGCGATATGAGGGCAGCTAATGTAAGAGTATATGATGTGGGAGGTCGTAACAAGTAGAATTTTAGGATAAGGGTTAGTCAATCCTAAATTTTATAGGATTAAGGCGAGGAAGAAGAAGAAGAAAACCTATCTTGTTAATATTTATATCATGTATTAGTTATTATTTTTATTTAATGTTGATGTATATACTATAAGCTACACTTTTGCCTACAGGGCGTCAAATAAATAATAATTATAATTATTATCAAATTAAAATCTTCTGTTATTATAACAAATTTAGTTGTATTATTTGCTCGTTACATATTACTTGAACTTTTTATACTCCACTTTGTTGAATTGGCAATTTCACTTCATTCTTACATTGTCGTAAACTGCATTCTTTAATATGTGTCAACGGTGTTTGTGTTTAGCGTTGATAATGGTAACATTATTCCCAATACACGTATTCTCGATTTTTAGTAATTTCTGAATTAATATTATTTGTTTTTAATTAAATTAGTATTAGCTTCGATGCGAAGCTGAGAAGGTATTAATTTTACTAAGATGTGTTTTTTTTTTTTAAATATAATTTTAATTTTACATAATTGCTACTAGTGGTCAATTTTTATTATAGATCTATCGATATGTACAACGAATAAGGCAGTAACTTACTTTTTATTACTTTTCAGGAGATCAAAATGAAATGTACTGATTGGATATAATCATTGATACTAAACCCCCTAGGCACACCATGACTATATGACACAACAAACACGCTTACTAAAATGTACAAAAACTTTACTGTGTAATATAATTGGTGACTAGTCATTATTTATATTATTCGCAGATGAAACTATCGAGTATACCGACTAACCGAGGGCCTGTATCAATAATTAGGACCCTTACCGGATAATAAGCCTAAAACTTGACTATTTTGGACTTATACGAATATTGTTAAACTATCATAATGTGAGAATTTTATATGAGTCCAATTAATATTAATAATCGGGCGGATCTATTTGATGAACGAAACATCTGTTTAAAGAACGGGGCATTCAGAATATAATCAGTATATAGCTAACATATATCTAGCTACTCGGTTGAAACTTCACAAAATGTATTTTTTTAACCTATAGAACAATTCTAAGGGGCGTCCGGGCAAAAAAAAAACTTTGAAAAATATGAGCCACCCTAAGCTAACATATATCTAGCTACTCAGCAAAAAAACACATAATAAAATTTTACCATTGATTAAGTATTTAAAGTTGGATTAGGTTTCATGTTAAAATAAAATTATTAAAAAAATCGATATTTAATATGAGAATTGAAATTTATTCCGTGATAAAATATTATTATTTAATACACAAAGAAACTTATATTAAAAAAATCACCAAAACAAAATTCACTTTAATTCTTCTAAGTATTATTTAAATTTAAAAAGTCCTAAACGAATAAAAAAAAAACTAATTATTTTTTTAATTTAATAAATAACTAAGTCTCAGAGTGCATTTTTTTTTTTAACTTTTGAAATAACCTGAAGAACTGGTTTTATAAAAAAAAAATATGGCTTTTTATAATTCAAGGACCCTCCTTGAACGATCCTAGCCTAATCTTGAAAACTGAAAATTTCATTCTAATTGGCTAATTATGATAGGCGTTTAGGTGTTCCTTTTAAATTTGTGTAATAAAATGATTCTGTTTGAAAGTTAAATAGTTATTTTGTGTGTTAATGAAGAGAACCCTATTTTGGTGATCTTGTATATTTATAATATTGATAACATATTCAAAAAAACAAAGATTACAATAACAACCGTTAAAGTGTCCGTGCTAAGACACTCGTGAAATACACAATAACATAAAACAAATATTATATGATTACAACATTAAAATAGATTGTAAATTTTAATAACAATAATTTCTTAATAAGCGTATCCAATGTTAATGGCGTTAATTATCCGTAATATATTTAAAAATTACTATCTATCTATTTAATTTTTTTTTATATATATTTTATTTATCTTTTAATGGATTTAACTAGCTTACACTTACTCAATTTTATAAGAAATAAAGATAAAACAGAAAATAAAATTTATTCTGGTAGCATTTTTAACTCACTAGGATATAACATTCTTTGATACCTTTCCTCTATGAGTTTATTAGGATACGCATTTTGTAACTCTGGTGTAGGTTCAAGTTTTAATTGAAAATAAAAAGTCACTAAATATTCTCTTAAAAGTTCCATCAACACTAATAGTTTACCAGTTAATTCATACGCATAGTTACACTTATTAATCTGTTCTCGGTAACTATCCATAAAGGTTTTAAATTCGATTTCTGGTTGAAAGCAGTTTGCTTCTATGAAATCGTTCGTAGTTGACTGTATATCGTTAAGACGTGCATCAATATTAAGGCCTTTTAAAGATAGTGTACCTAGGTTTATCAGACTATCTGATACTGAATAAATTCCATTATTTTTTTCTACGTTACTCATCTTCGATAATTTTAAAAATTGCGACTTCCAATTTTTTATTACTTCTGGAATTTTCTTCAATTCATACCTCAAATCACCTTTACATGACTCAACGATTTCTATTAAGCGGATTTCTTCACATTTATCTTTTAAGCATTTCGCTAATTCTGAATACTGCACAAAAAAATATGCACTATTGCAGCTTAGTAGTAAATGCATCTGTTTTGCTTTATGACTTAATGTCTCTCTAGTGACTAAATTAGCATTGGCTATTTCTTCTATGGTGACTTTATTACCATTTTCATTAATACATAAAAGTGTCTTTAATTGTTTCCATATTGGTTGTTGGCATATTGATTGTAAGAATTTAACATTATTATCATTCGCATTTATCATACCAATGGCGTTGACGATATATAAAACAAAATATGAGTATTCTAAATGCATTTTTTATGTTCGATATGAAATTCTTTTTACAATTATTATTTTTTTTAAAATACGTGACTTTTATATAAAAATGAAATGATGAATTTTATATTTATATAACAGTATTTGTATAAAGTGACATAAATTACACAAATAATGATAAAATAAGTTATTATTCTGACCTAATTTATAAAAGATTAAATTATGCACTTAAATAAAAGTGACATTATTAGCAAAAATAATGAAGCTTAATTTTCATTTTGCTATTATAAATTTGTTTGAAATATTGTTATAAATATATAATAAAATGTCAATAAATACAATAGCTTCTCCACAATTTCTATATACACAGATTAAAATTCTTCTATGTAGCTCAACCTGCTCGACTATAACTAAAAATTATAACAATTCATAAAATAATATCACAACATTATTCTCGATCTAATAATAAAATAATAATAATAATTTCACATTGAGCTTCTGAAGTTATAACTAAAATCTAACTTTAGGAATAATATTTTCACAAAAAACCTTGATATTTACTATGGTACGTAATAATAAAATAAATTAAAATATTGTTATAAATATATAGTAATACAACAGTGTTGCCAAAATGTCTCTTAGCCTCCTCTAGCTAAACCACAAAACATTAATATTTCAAAAATTTCTAGTGATGTTCGATTTTNTTCTTTAGCCAAACCGCAAAACATTAATATTTCTAAAATTTCTAGTGATGTTCGATTTTTGAACCATACTGGACCAAACATGTGTCGTTTGGTTTAATTTAAAAATTGAATTTAAAATTTAAAAATCGAATCGAACATATTCCTTGTAACTCGATAAGAAAATCTAATTATTATATCCAGTATATATTTTTATAAATTAATTAAATTTAATTTTCAAAACATTTGGCATGATACCACGCCGAATTTGTCGAAAAATTATACAAAAATGTCTGCTTGAAAATTATTAAAATTGATGGAAAAAATGCAATTTTTAATTACAAAAATAAAACGTTGTTAAACATTACCCTACTACTCACCTTTTTTTTTTTCTTTAAAAGTAAACAAAATTATCTCAAAAAACAATAATGCAAATTATGTAAGGATTGGAGTAGTGTTTAGTAACCTATAATTTTTCCAAAACACACAGATACGAATTCTTCCATGTTGCGCACCCTAATCGATATAACGAACAATCAAAATAATTCAGAAAATAATAATAATAATTTCACATATAAATGACGAAAATTACTCTTAAAATTTAACATTACGAATAATACTTACAATGAACTTGATATTTACTATAGTTTATAATAATAAATTAAACTTCAGTTTTTAAATTTTTATGAATATATTTTACAAGAATTTTGTTATTTGTTTAAATTTTTGATGATTGAAATAAGAAGATATTTCGTTTGATCATATTCATTTTAACTTAATGTCAGTGTCATCAGTTTGTACCATAATTAATTTAATTATTTGAAACGATAAAGATTTTTATAATTTCAAATTATAATTTTGTGATGTTTTGACTTATTGTTAAGAAAAATAAATGTAGCTAGCCAGGTATTGATTAATTTCATATACTGACAAATAAAAATAAATAATCAGGCAAACTAAACCAAATTTTTTTAGCTACGAATTTAAAAATAATATAGGCATAGCTATCGAAACTTATCAAACTATTGAAATTCACTCTCATTCATTCAGTAAACTACAAAATCGTAAGACACTCTCGTGTTAGTAAAAACACGAAAAATGTCACAAAGGTAAGTCTCAGAGTATAAGTAAAAAAAAAAATATGAAATTCACTTTTTCTAAACAAATATTCCAGTCAAAGTAGTAGCGATATCTACATTGCGGCAAAGTTTGTTTATTCTTTAATTTATAAACTCATTTTACACGTACATCCATAAAGAAACATAGCCCTTTTATTTAAATCGCTTAACATTTGATCAGTTATTAGCTACTTGAAGACTAAAAAAAACTTAGCCATAACAACCAATAAAGACAAGAAGAAAATCTTTTTTTATTCGAGTTTTTTTTTTCTCATCTCGCATAGAAAACTCACACGAGCAATAAGCAAGTATTTGGCCACAAACTGGTCAAGTATTAAGCGATTAAATTAAAGGGGTAGTATTGCTCATGAAAGTTCATATGAAGTGACTTAATGAATTAATGAATGTAAAAACCTAAATATAGATTTAAATACTTTTATAAATATACGTTTTTTATTTAGAGACTGATATTTATTAACATTCAGTGAAACCTTTTCCACAGTTAATGCACACTTCTTAGTTCGACGTTATGACAAAACATTTTCTTATAATAAATGTACTAGATGGAAATCAGCATTTAAACCAATCCTTCTAGGCGCACGTAGCTATGAGATACAACTATTTACCAAAATATGACCGATTCGCAATTTCACTGTGTTATTTAAATAGCAACTTGTTTTTGCATATCTCATTCGTAGGTGAATATACAAAACGAGTCGATTGGATCTGGCCCAATATTTAGGACCCTTTCCAGATAATAAGAGTAAAATTTTACTATTTCGTGTTTTACACGAATAGAGTCATAATATTGTTGAACTTAAACCATCATAATATGAGTCAAAATAATATTAATAAACGGACGGCTCGATTTGCTGAACGAAACATGAGTTTAGTAATTGGAGTTGCCTACTATCTGGCCACATACTGATCACACATCACGGAAACTTCCTCTTTTGGGAGGTCGCAATCGCTCTCAATTGGCTATAAAAAAAAAAAAAATAATTAGGAAAACAATCTTTAAAAAGATAATATTGAAATAATACAAAAAATGAGAGTTAAATGGTTGTATAATACATACTGTGTATGAAAGGGTATAAGGTTTGTACGATAAAGTTTGCTGCGTTTGGGGATTTGGTCAATTGGTAAGCAACGAGAATCTATCGGGTTGTAGAGTTTGATTAAAGAAGATAAAGGGAACAAATGTTTTTTAAACTCTTTTATGCGACATAATATAAGGTTTAATTTAAATTTATATGATTAAACAACAAAAAATTTCTAGAATATTTTCAAAAATTAATTTTAATAGGAAAACATTGCGTGCAAAAGTTGCTATTATAATGCCCTATCGGCGGCAGGTAAAGGGTCAATTATAATATATATATATACAGGGTGTTCAGTAAGTCAGGAAACGGGTTTCTATTGTTCTCATTGTTACAAACAATGAGAACAATAGAAACCCGTTCCTGACTTACTGAACACCCTGTATATTAGGATGGTTCTTAAAACTAATGTAGTAATATTTAAAAATTATACAATCTCAATTAGTTCCAATACTTATAAAAATGAGGTACGCAATATTTCAGGTAAAGATTAACCCGTGCCACAAAAGGCACAGTTTTCAAACTCAAAAATTTTGGATAACCGTACATTTTTCATTGTTTTTTTAGTTTATCGAGTGAAATAATGGATTCACAACAAAATTGTAAGAACTAAAATTGTTTAAAATACTATTTTACACAAATTATATTTCGAACAATCTTTTTATTTACTTATTATTTATGTATAAAAAGTCAATATAAAAATTATTTTGTTGTTATAAACTCACAAAATAAAGTGAGTGTTAGTTGTAGTTTTTCAACTCCTGGTAATTTTCGTAATTTATCATAACAACAATGTATAATCTTGAATAAACTTTTATCAAACCATCAAGTCACAATTTATTACAAGAATGACTAAAAAGACGATAAAGTCTTTATCAAAACTCATTACTAATATTTGTCCTAACTATATATTGCTCAGGTTATTGTTTTCATTATTTCTACTGCGCCTGTATGATCATTTTTAGATCGTATACATTTTAGTGTTTACAATAATTTTGATATTTCAACATTTTTTTGTTAATATATTTTAAATATATATTTTAATATGTTGGGTTCAGTTCATATATTAATTTCTCCAGCAGAGGCATTAGGTGAGGACGTTGAAAAATTAATTATAAATAGATCTTCTATTCGAAACTCACGCATGCGTTTCCGTAAAGAACGCGCTGAAAAAATCCGTAATAATTATTTGGTAACTATTAAAGATTCCGTTGTCATTCATTGGGATGGTAAACTTTTACCTTCATTGACAGGACAAAAAAGTGTTGATCGACTTCCCATTATTGCTTTATGTAATGGTGAGAGTCAATTACTAGGAGTTCCAGCAATTGATATGGGAACAGGGGTTGATCTCGGACTGATGCTATTTTTCATATACTTATTGATTGGTGTATTACAGGAAATGTACTGACTTTTTACTGTTATACTACGGCTTAAAATATGGGTAGATTGAAAGGTACTTGCATGTTATTAAAAAATTACTTAGAATGAAATATTTTGTACATGTCGACATCACATCTACGAGCTAGTATTAAAATGTGTTTTTGAAGTTAAATTACGTCTAACATCTAGTCCTGATGTACCAATATTTAAACGGTTTCAACAAAATTGGAGAAATATAGATACCAACAAATTTGAGCCAGTTATAATGAACGACATTGTAAAAAAAACATTAAAAGATGTATGTACCGATGTAACTATCTTCGCAAACAACTATTTTTGATACTAATGTTCCATTTGATACAAAGAGAAAAATTATAGCTGCTTTAAAAATCCATACAGATGATGATGTACCAAAAAAATATTTATTGAATACAATAGGAAGCTACTGGATATTAATTAAAAATCTTGAAGATTTTATTTGTGGAAAATCAATGCAATTTTTCTAACGTTTTAATATAGATACTAGTTTTCTGATCATTGATAATTTCAAGATATCAATAGACCTTATTAATAGCATTAATGTAGTTAATGATATAGTTGAAAGGGGTATTAAACTAATGAAAGAGTTTAATACGAAAATAATAGACGATGAAAAACATAAACAATATTTGCTTCAAGTAGTAAATGATTACCGCAGTAAATATCCAAATTTCAAAAAGAGTACTCTTTTAGATAATTAGTTCAATGATTAATATTTTGTTTTATGTTTGATGCGTTTTTGTAAATTCTTTTTCGTATCATAAAATTAACACTGAATTCACTTTATTTTGTGAGTTTTTAACAACAAAATAATTTATATATTGACTTTTTATAAATACACAATAAGTAAATCAAAAAATTGTTCAAAGTATAATTTATGTAAAATATTATTTTAAAAAACTTTTATTCTTACAATTTTGTTGTGAATCCATTATTTCACGCGTTGAACTAAAAAATAATGAAAAATGTACGGTTATACAAAATTTTTGAGTTTGAAAACTATGCCTTTTGTGGCACGGGTTAATCTTTTCTGATTATCTGAAACATTGCGTACCGCATTTTTATAAGTATTGGAACTAATTGAGATTGTATAATTTTAGAAAAGGTAAGTTTTTAAAATGATCCCTATTCACTAAAACCACCCTAGTGACCATTTGGTTATTAAAAAAGTTGNAACCACCCTAATGACCATTTGGTTATTAAAAAAGTTGAAGTGTTCTTAGAGAAAGCAAGAGTAACAGTCAGAAAATTTCAAAGGAGCATCGAAATATTGGAGTCACTGTATTCAGAATGGAGAAATTTGAACAAAAGCTCTAACAGGACATCATTGAACCACGAAAATAAGGAAAAGGGTTTCATTGGAAAATTTAACAAATTGTTCAACATTTCACATGGAAATGATGACTATTGAAGAAGATAAATTATTTTTGATGTGTCAACGAGATAAGAAAAGAAAAGGTTGCATGGCTAGTTCAGATTATTACTTATACTTACAGGAAAAACATGAACTAACACAAAAAAGTTTGAAAGAGCAAAGAGATTTGAAACTTCAAAAATCTTAATTTATGTCCAGTAAGTATTTTATTATTAATACTTCATTAGTTCATAAATTAATTAACAGCAAGTTTTTTTTTAGACAAGGTAGCTATTTTATACAGTAGTACAAGTAGTATAAGTAGTAATGAAATAGCCAACATGTCTTGTGATGTTTCCGATTCTAATTTTAATGATGAAAATGAACCTGGAGCATCCTGTTGAAAAAGAAAAAGAGGCAAATTATAGTTTATTACATAAAAACTTGTTGCCGCTTTTAACAAATGTAAAGTAAGTGATAGAAATGCCGTACACATGTTAATAACAACTGTAGAGACTCTAAATTTAGATCCTAGTGAGTTGGTTATTAAACGAGCTTCTATTCACCGTTGTCGTAAACTTCAAAGGACCGAAAACGCACAAAAAATTTTTGAGAAGTTTCATGAAAAAAAAAAAAACCCAGCACAGTGGTGACGTGGCATAGTTGGATCAAGTATAATGATATCTGACAGTGATTAAAATCACTATCAAAAATAAACGCTTCGATGCAAATCTTTAGATAGTGTTTAATTTTAAAAAAATTGGTGTTTTATTCCAAAAGCTACTTGATCTGCTGGTTCCTTATTAATATCT